AAGGTTGTGGACCCTATAGGGGTCACAATTTTTATCCGATTTTGTTGAAACTTGAAATGTAAGTTTATAACCCAAAGATCTCGGTTCCTTTCGATATTCGTGCATATCGGACCGTAACTTCCTGAATTATGACCCCTGATTGTACGAAAAATCACGTTTTTAGCTTGTGGACCCTGTAGAAATCATAATTTTTACCCGACTTAAAAAAGGTATTATTATATCACCGTTACACCCTAGGGACGACTGAATTCGAATTTCGTGAAAATAGGCCCAAAATTGACACACAAAATGGCCGCCGTTCGTTCTCATATAGCGTAAGAAAATGGTATATCAAGGTTGTGGACCCTATAGAGGTCACAATTTTTATCCGATTTTGTTGAAACTTGAAATGTAAGTCTATAACCCAAAGATCTCGGTTCCTTTTGATATTCGCGCATATCGGACTGTAACTTACTGAATTATGGCCCCTGATTGTACGAAAAATCGTGTTTTTAGCTTGTGGACCCTATAGAGGTCATAATTATTATCCGATTTAAAAAATCATATTATTGTATCACCGTTACACCCTAAGGACGACTGAGTTCGTATTTCGTGAAAATCGACCAAAAACTGTCAGATAAAAAGGCCGCCCTTCGTTCTCAAATTACGTGAAAATATCGTATATCAAGGTTGTGGATCCTATAGAGGTTACAATTTTTATCCGATTTTGTTGAAACTTGAAATGAGGTTTATAACCCAAAGATCTCGGTTCCTTTCGATATTCGCGCATATCGGACCGTAATTTCCTGAATTATGGCCCCTGATTGTACGAAAAATCGCGTTTTTAGCTTGTGGACCCTATAGAGGTCATAATTTTTATCCGATTTAAAAAAACGTATTATTATATCACTGTTACACCCTAAGGACAGTTGAGTTTGAATTTTGTGAAAATCGCCCCAAAATTGACAGACAAAATGTATATCAAGGTTGTGGACCCTATAGAGGTCACAATTTTTATCCGATTTTGTTGAAACTTGAAATGTAAGTTTATAACACAAAGATCTCAGTTCCTTTCGATATATGCGCATATCGAATTGTAATTTCCTTAATTATGGCCCTTGATTGTAGGAAAAATCACTTTTTTGTTTGCTTGTTCTCTATCCATCTCTCAAAAATGTGGGCGTATCCTGCCTGGCAGCCGCTGGTTAAGGCGAGCGATCGCTCTTGAGCACCTGCTGCTCACCTGCATGTCGACCGAGGGGAGTTTTTTTCCCTCCCCTTAAAACTGAAAATCGCTCTCCTTTTCATAGTCATTGGGGTTTATTATCATTTATGAAACGAGGAATGACCCCATTACATGCAGTTATTGATCTTAGAACCATTTCCCATGCACATAACTAATCACTCTCCTTAATATCAGATCACTCTCCTTAATTTCTAAATCACTCTTCTTATCGAAACTGGGAGAGTTTTTTGAGTGGGGCGATTTTTTCAATTTGTTAATGATTGAGGAGAGCTTTTTGGGCTCTCCTCTGAAATACAAACAACAACGACTGCCTAAGGATGGTTGAGTTCGAATTTCGTAAAACAGACAGACAAAATGGCCACCCCTCGTACTCAAATAGCGTAAAAATATGATATATCAAGGTTGTGGACCCTCTAGAGGTGACAATTTTCTTCTGATTTTGATGAAACTTGAAATGTAAGTTTATAACCCAAGGATCTTGGTTCCTTTCGATATTCGCGCATCGCCATATCAGATCGTAACTTCCTGAGTTATGGCCCCTGATTGTACGAAAAATCGCTTTTTGTTTAGCTTGTTCTCTATCCATCTCTTGCAAAATGTGGGCGTATCCTGCCTGGCAGCCGCTGGTTGTTTTTTTATTCTACACAATGAAAACAAACACAGATACTCGCATTGAGTGTTGTTTGAGTGGAAATTCTTCTGTCGCTAATCTTTGTCATTTTTAGTAATCAAATTAGTACAATTTTCTACGTGAAACTTTATTATGTCTTCAATAATATTTAAACCTTTTTTAAAGGGAATCCTTGATTTATTTTTGCTACACCAACATTTCAGTGTGAAACTTCCAATCAGTCGTTAAAAAGATGTTTTTTATATGCCCACATTTTCATGTGGACGTATTGTCGTCACTCTTGTCCGTCCGTCCATCGGTCTGTCTGTCCGTCCACAATTGTTTGTGGACACTCTACAGGTCACAATTTTTATCCGATTTCAACGAAACTTACAATATAGGTTTATCTCCCTAAGATCTCGGTTCCTTTCGATATTGGCATGTATCGGACTGTAACTTGATTGCTTATGGCTCCTGATTGTATGCAAAATTGCGTTTTTAGCTTGTGGACCCTATAGAGGTCACAATATTTATCTGATTTTGTTGAAATTTGAAATGTAAGTTTATAACCCAAAGATCTTGGTTCCTTTCGATATTTGCACATATCGGACTGTAACTTCCTGAATTATGGCCCCTGATTGTACGAAAAATCGTGTTTTTAGTTTGTGGACCCTATAGAGGTCAAATTTTTATCCGATTTAAAAATACGTATTATTATATCACCGTTACACCCTAAGGACGGCTGAGTTCGAATTTCGTGAAAATCAGCCCAAAACTGACAGACAAAATGGCCGCCCTTCGTTCTCAAATAGCGTAAAAATATGGTATATCAAGGCTGTGGACCCTATAGAGGTCACAATTTTAATCCGATTTTGTTGAAACTTGAAATGTAAGTTTATAACACAAAGATCTTGGTTCCTTTCGATATTTGCGCATATCGAATTGTAATTTCCTGAATTATGGCCCTTGATTGAAGGAAAAATCACTTTCATTTTAGCTTGTTCTCTATCCATCTCTCGAAAATGTGGGCATATCCTGCCTGGCAGCCGCTGGTTTATTTTTGGAGCGACGCCTTATTATAAAAAGTGCATCGGGTCTTATCTAAAGAAATGAAATAGACCTACACATACATGTATAAGGATTACATGTATAATGTATATGTAGGCGATCTTCCATGCCTCCAACTCCATGTATATGTTATCATTGGTATACAGTAAGTCTACAGTCAACAACTTGTTAATTCTTTTAAACTAGCCCATAGTAGTATATATACCGATAAATATGTAGGATTTATAGATACATTCCCACAAAAGTATTTATCCAGTAGTTATTTTCAATGAGTGTGACAATTTTGGTATATATGGGAAGTAGGAATACCCAATCTTACTAGAAAAATACTAGGTTCACTGAAAAACACCCATGGTCATTGTACAAGACAAAAATGTATGAGTATCCCTAAACGACAGGCTGTCAGTTTAGCTGTCTGCTTTAGTGACGTAAGGAATGATTCCTGTGTGTTGATCTAGTGGGTAACATCAAGAGAATTAAACGATCAGTAGACTGCGATTAAACCATGGAAAAAGAAATTCACAGAAGGTATTCCAGGAATTAAATTAGACTTCGATATTTGTAGTAGATGGAAACTGGCTAACGAAAAATACAAGATGATGATAATGGATTCTCCCTCAATCAATCAATCAGAGGCGGATTACCCCAAAGGCAGTGTAAGCAGCTGCCTAGGGCCCAAGAAAAAATAGGACCCATAAAATTTTTGACGACCTTTTTAAATTTGATGTTTTACATTATTTAATTCACTGGACTAGACTTCCGACGAACCTCACTCAGTTGTGTTGGTAGTTCACTATGAGGCAAGAAGGCCCACACGGTCTTTGACACCATAGCGCTCGAGATGAGCTTTAGTGTGATCGATCACTCCAACTGAGAGACTGATCACTCAATTGCCTTGCATTAGCCTGGTATCCCGTTTTGCTGTCATTTTAAAAAAGTTATTGCGATTTTCTCTTGAAATTTGTCTTTCCTTCATTACGTGAATGCCGCATGATTTCAACGTAGGCCGGTTCGCCGTTGATATGACCCAAAGCCAAAGGTGTGGATGGCAGAAGAGAAAAAAAACTATGAAGCTGAAATGCTGTAAAAAGCGGCCAAAACTATGCCCAAAATCACAATGTTCTTCCGCGGCCAGGGACAGGGTCACTGCTCAGTCGATGAAAACACAAATGATATCATCAAGAATAATGAGTGGTCGACCGACCAGGTGGGAGTGATTTCTGAAAGTGATGATGACAGCTTGGAAATTAAGTTTGTTTTCATTTTATCCATCAATTGGTTGTTGCTGTGCTCCTCTGAGCATCAATTGATTGTCACAGGCCGACTTACATGGTAATGTTTGACTAAGTTGTAGTGCTTGACATTATTCCATCAGTATATCTTCAGAAATTTCGTTTCTCTTACAGCGGTCTTAATTTTACTACGGCAAACCAGTTCTGCAAAGGGCCCAGCTGGTCGAACTGCCTAGGGCCCATCAGAGCCTTGATCCACCTCTGCTTTTAGAGTCACGTGATAAATAGATGGGATTAGTTTTATTTCGATTAATGTAGTACAATGTATGTAGTATAGCTAAAAGGATGAAACCATTTGGGAAAAAATCTCAATACAATGCTAAGATGAGCTGTACAAGCTTTTCTTTTGGATAAGTTGCTGCCTATGGCTATATTTGTTTAAGAGACAAAACTGCTGTGTTGGTGTATTTATTTCTATCTTTAAATATGGGTAAGAAGGGCTTGCTTGCAGACTGTATTATTAAAGTACCAATAAATATGTTTTGATGCATTAAAATTCTATTCTATTTCTATTCTAATTCTATACTGGAACGCAGGAAACATCATTTTTTGCGTACCTGTGTAAAATAAGCTCTACACATGCCATAAAAAAAGTAAACCGGTAAGGTACAATGTACATGTACATGTATTTGAGTACATGTATTTCTAGATTGTTCAATTCCATCGTAGTAAGTGCTCTCCTGTTTTGAATTTTGATGATTATGTTGAATTTTTGACCATCCTTTTTATGCAGTCTTTAGTTTAAAACAGCATTATGATTACAACTCATTGAGACAATTATTTTATGACATGTACATTATTTCAGAAGTGGACCATCATCAAGAATGTCGATTATTTTATGATGGAATTCAGCCGTCGCCTGTTTGGGAAGCAAAGTTTGTTGTTTTACAGACAGACATCTGCTCACTGACTAGTCACAATACAGAAGAGGTTAGAAAATTAAAGTAATAGTTAATTAATATGGGGCTATCATTTCCAGCACATGTACAGCTACATCAGATATTTAATAGATAATATACTCCAGCACATTGTACATTTATTTGATCATTGAAATGAGAGATATCTAACAAGTAAAACAATAATTTTATACCTTTAACCTCAATGTAATTTTTGATGGAAATGATTTCTCCTTCCAAAATGTGTCTACATGTATATCGACTTTATATTTTTATCTAGCTAATCATTGTATATGTACCTTCTGTGGAATAAATACATTGATTAAATGCTTGTCTAAATCCTTTAAATAAACATATGTGCTTTCCTACATTTGTACATGTACTATCCTAACAGACTATAAGATAGAGCTAGAGTAGAATAAAATAAACAAGGATACATGTACACAGGATTAAGGGCGTTGAGCAGTCTAAAATGCACATTTTAAAGTAAGCACTGTAAGTTTTGTTCATAAGATATAACATTTTTTGTTATATGCCAAAAACGATAAGTTTTCTTGGAAATTCTGTTAGTACATGCTAAAAAGAGATATCAATATTCCCCTCCTTGGATCAAAAGTAGAGGTTATAAGCAACATTTTGACACCAAAAACGACATAAAATATCAACTCAAAGTATTTTAAAATCTTTGTTCATTATGATTTACCTTTAAACAAGATTTTGTGATTTTGGGTTAATTCTCTGAATATGTCCACAACAAGTTTTAAAATACAACATTTCGACACCAAAAATGTCATAAAATATCAACTCAAAGTATTTTAAAATCTTTGTTCATTATGATTTACCTTTAAACAAGATTTTGTAATTTTGGGTTAATTCTCTGAATACGTCCACAACAAGTTTTAAAATACAACAATTTTGATGTAAAAGTAAATAATTGATACAGTGCACTACTCTGCTGTTCTCAAAATTATTTTATACATTCAAAAATGGTAGTCTTCAACCATCTAGTCTCGGTCACCCAGAACCTCCTAGTCTTCAACGTACGGAGGGTCTGGGACCGTTGTCAACATTTGACGTAAAGTCCATTGCCCATGCGTTTGGTTTTTAATGTGGTTGATTATCCAGTATCTTTGGCCAAGTCAAGTAAGAGTTGCACCCCTTCCCACAGTAAATCCCATAATTCTTGCATTAATATAAACAAACATGAATCGTGACGACGAATTAGGATTAATTTAAAAAACATAGATATGGCCTATGAAGAGAGAAATTTTACAATAAAAAGATTAAGAGTGTTGGATATTGAACTGGCATGTAATCAAATGGATTATTTGAAATGGCATTCTTAAATTAATTTCATGGACAACTTAATGCCCTTAAGTGTAAAACTACAATAAGCAGTCAGTCGTGACTTATAAATCATTTTAATACATCTAGGTTTGTAGAAAATCCTTTCTCCCTCGTCAATGATGCTGGCCGGACGGCCTGGCAGTGTTCGGACTTTCAAATGGGTTGCCCCACCTTCCTCCTCTAGCTTGTACATGTACCTAACAGGAAGTAGGGTCCCAGGCCCAACCTTATGGGTTAAAAAGATTGAACCATGTTGATTTTTATAAGCCCACATGGAAATGTGGTCGTATATTGCCGTCGCCCCCGTCCTCCGTCGTCCACAATTTCTTGTGAACACCACACAGACTACATTTATCATCTGATTTTTTTTAAAATTGATATATATATGTATGTTGTTTGCATTAGTGAGATGAAGAAGCTTTTTTAATTTCAAGAACTTCTGTTAATTTCTTCTGGAGTTATGGCCCTTGTTTCACTTTGTTGCACCTTGTGAACGCCCTAACAACAAAAGTTATCAACCGATCTGTATGAAATTTATAGGCATCATTTCGATTAGTAAAACAAAGAAACCTGTTGAATTTCAGCAATTTCCGTTAATTACATCTAGAGTTATGGCCCTTGTTTCACTTTGTTAAATCTTGTGAAAGCTCTAATGACAACAGTTAAAATCCGATCTATTTGAAATTAATATGCATCATTTAAATTAGTGAAACGAAGAAGCCTATTGAATTTTAGTAATTTCTGTTTATTACGCGGTGAGTTATGGCCCTTGTTTCACTTTGTTGTACCTTGTGACAAAAGTTATTATCAGATCTGTATGAAATTTCTATGCATCATTTAAATTAGTAAAACAAAAAAGCCTGTTGAATTTCAGCAATTTCCGTTAATTACATCTAGAGTTATGGCCCTTGTTTTACTTTGTTGAACCTTGTGAATGTTCGAACGACAAAAGTTATCATCTGACCTTTATAAAATTTATATATGCATTATTTGAATTAGTAAAACGAAAAAGCCTGTCGAATTTCAACAATTTCTGTAGACTACTTCCCAAGTTACGGCCCTTGTTTTAGTTTTTAGAACCTTGTGAACCCTCAAACAATGAAAATTATAATGTCATCTGTATGAAATTGTCTATTAAATTCCCCCTAATTACCAACAAAAGAATAAATATGCGACAACCCTTGTCGACCGCACGGACGATTTAGCTGCTGTGGGCGTATGTTTTATTGCCTAGCAACCTATCTTTAGCAATTTAGGGCTTTCTATTCCAGAAAATCGATAGGGATTAGATTTATTGAAGGATCCTAGATTCATATCAATTTTCAGATAAGCTGCTGTTAAGACCTAACGTGTGGGTGTATTTCCATGCTTTTCGTGACTATCTTAGAATCAAATATATACACAGGTACTGTCTACTTCGTGTACAATTTTGGTTTCGAATCCCTGGTTGTACGTGGCAAGGAGTAGGGTCGCCTGTCCAACCTCGTGGGTTTTCTCCGGGTCCTCCGGTTTCCTCCCACTGCTAAAGACCCCTACGCGCAAGCGAATTATGTAAATAAAATTAAACCATATGTTAGTCCCGAAATGACCTAGTTTGTGTCGAGTGGACGTTAAACCCCATTTCTCTCTCTCTCTCTTGTGTACAATTTTTATAGGTCATGATTATGTACATGTATCCCCATCAACTTAATTATTTATTATGAACTTAAAGTTCTTATCTTAGAGAGAATTTTAGTTTTCGGATATTATGTTAACATTTACTTGTGTTTAAAATGAAGCCACGGGGGTTCACTGAGTATGGTATGGCAAGGAATAGTGTCTAGTTGTTCTGATGGGATGGAAAACCAAGATCCTTTCTATCCTTGATATTGGCATTTGGAATTTGATGAAGAGCTGGTGTAAATTTTCCCTCATAGCACACTGGATGGTGGATGCCCATCTTCCTTGGTTCAGCTTGGGGTTAAACCCCATTTCATTTCGTTCTGATTTTGTTTATACAAATAGGAGTTACATGTTCACTGATAAGTAAATGTATTATTGCCAAATTGAAAGGTCATTTTTAAATGGCAAAATAAAAACTTCTGTAAATCATACCTTTGATATGTAAATGTACAAGACACTTAATTCTTGACATTAATGATTTCTGGTTTTATTTTTCAGTCTGCGAATCATATGCGATACCAGAGCTATCCGAGGTTAAGATTAGATGGAGGTAAAGAGGAGTTTGATAAACGTTGGGGTTACGAAACATTGGAATGTATCAAAGAAAATGCTATACAACATTCACCTAGAGGTAAGTTAAAAATCATAAATATTGAATTATCAGCTCATACGTACATGTATGTTCATATTTTTCAAATCTGTAAGTGGGAATCTTGAATTTTGAACTACTATTATTTGACTATTTCTTCAAATACATTGTAGGATCCCTATTAATTTTCATGCAAGCACACTGCCGCAACCTTTCACATTGTGGAAAATGTTTTTGTTACTTGTTACCATCATAGAGAGGATGTCTCTGTGAGGTAGTCAAGACAATTTGAAGGATTTGTGTATGAATTATGTGATCATATGTTACCCTAGAACCCAAAATTTCTTGAAAATTCAACTAAAATCAAATAAAGTACTGCATATGTGAAAAGTATGTTGCAGAGATATTGTTATTGTCATCCTTTTTGACCCAGAAATAGATCTTTTCGTAATGCGATGTTCTATCCATTTGTTATACTTTTATGAAATAAGAACCTTATCATAAAGTAGTACCTTTTATGTACATAGTGTACACAAGTCATAACAATTACTATTTGACGACCAGAAAGACTAATTTAAGACCTATAATGCCATATTTGGCATCAATAACTGCTCGGTAAATACTGGTAGCTTGTCATATTTCGGCCACCAATTTTTTTTACATGTATGTTAAAAGTAAGATAAATGACTTTTAAACATACATTATGCAAGAGCTAAATCTGTCTGTTGCAGGTCTTTCTTTAGGCCTGAAATGTTATCTAAATTATTAATTAGACATTAATTAACCTATCCAGACCATAATCAACTCTAGATGGCATCGCTAGCCTGCGATCTTTAGTGGATTGTGAGCCGATTTACTGCATAATTTTCCTTCACGATTTAATGATTAAGTGGATAATTGAGACTATGCTGTTTATGTACTGACTTTAGTAATGATGATCAAGGCTAGGCGGAAATTCAATCGCTTTGTTCTCGGTTCATAGTGGATCAATTTGAATGAAATTTTCAGCAAATTGCCTTTACATTATCTAGTTTTTAACTATTATAGTGTGAACTGCCAACTTGTTATCGAATCTCCCATAATGCAGTTCAAAATCCTGAATAAAGACCTTGTGATGACATTAATCCAATTCGGAACTTATTGACGAGCTGTTACTGTAATAACCATTTCTCTTGAGCTTTATGTAACACGTGCAAGGGAGAAGTTGGGGGGGGGGGGGTCTTTTTTATACACCCACATGTGAATGTATACTGTCGTCGCCCCTGTCTGTCCGTCCACAATTTGTTTGTGGACACTCTACAGATCACAATTCTTATCTGATTTCGATATTGGCATGTAACAGATCGAAATTACATGGATTGTGGCCCCTGATTGTACGAAAAATCGCGTCTTTGGCTTGTAGACCCTCTAGACGTGACAATTTTCATTTGATTTTTATGAAACTTGAAATACATGTTTATAACCCAAAGATCTTGGTTCCATTCAATAATCGCGCTATTCGGATCATAACTTCCTGAATTGTATGGAAAAAAACGTGTTTTTAGCTTGTGGTCACTCTAGAGGTAACAATTTTTATCTGATTTTGTTGAAATTTGAAATGTAAGTTTATAACCCAAAGATCTTGGTTCCTTTCGATATTTGCACATATCGGACTATAACTTCCTAAATTATGGCCCCTGATTGTACAAATATATTTCCGTTACACCCGAATGATGGTTGAGTTAGAATTTTGTGAAAGTCAGACCAAAACTGCTGGACAAAATGGCTGCCCCACGTACGCAAAAAGTGTAATACATGTATATCAAGGTTGTTAATACTCAAGAAGTCACACTTTTTATCTAATTTCGATATTTGCGCATATCTGACCATAACTGCCTGGATTATGGCCCCTGATTGTATGAAAAATCATGTTTTTAGCTTGTGGACCATCTAGAGGTCATAATTTTTATCCGATTTTAAAAAGCCTTTAAGTGTATCACCATTACACACATACCCTAATGATAGTTGAGTTAAAAAATCCGACCGAAACTGCCTAACAAAAAGGACGTTCCTTGTACGCAAATAGTATAAAAGTATGTAATACTATAAGGTTGTGGACTCTTCTAGAAGTCACAATTTTTATCTGATTTTGATAAAATATATCTTTATATCCCAAATATTGCAGCCCATTTCGATGCAAGCGTATTTCAGACCATAACTTCCTGGATTATGGTCCCTGATTGTGTGAAAAATCACTTTTTTTTTAGCTTGTTCTTTATCCATCTCTTGCAAAATGTGGGCGTATCTTGCCAAGCAACTGCTGGTTTTGCAAAAAGGCACAAAGTTGAATTAATTGTATTGTAACAAAGATAGAAATATCACATGAAAGAGAAATGGAATGGTATATTAGCAAATGTGGAAGGGTTGGGGAAGGACCAGATAATCTTTAAACTAGGCATATCAATAATTAGTAATATTCAGTTTGATCGGTATACATGTATGTCAGCATTTTCTGAATCAGAGATCTTTTGTCGATCTGGTCCGAGACCGAACAAGACAGAAACCAAGCGGGAAAATCCTAAAGAGCTTTCCCTGCCAGCACTTGGATTCAAAACTGGATCTCCAGGTTAGCGAGCCAGCGCCTTTATTCACTGTGTAAGGTTCTGCTGAAGTGTTAATATATTTGATATCAAAAAAGAAGTGTGAGATTTTATTTATCACCCAATACATGTATCACTCTTAAATAAAAAGAATTTTAAAAACAAGAAATTATAGTGACTTTGGAAAATTAACTTGAAACTATATAACCTAGTGATAAATAGAATTCCTCAATTGAACACTTTTTTTTTTACAGGTTAGTCTCTGGACAGGGTCTAGTTAAAGCATGTACATTGTAAATGTAAAACAATATTTGAAATCGTGCTGTTGTCTGTTTGTTTTTAAATTTCTCACAGCCAAGTCAATCCTCTTCTGTCTTTGTTTAGACTTGATCTTTGAGTTGTTCACATTCTCTATTGTCATATACTCCAACCATTTTACACTTCTACTCACATTTTACCTTTAAACAATACCAGTCAGTCCCTTTATCACATTCAGTTTCCACAATGAACAAATCTTTAAAAATGGGTTCGGACAGCCTGCTCTCTGTGTTTCCTTCAGACGTTCAGAACACAATAAGTCTCTAATTTAGTGGGGTTAGGTGGTTGAGTCGTCTTATGCGTGCATTTTAGATTCTAAGATCTATTATTAAGACAAATGGCATGATTTTGATCCCAAGCTTGTACATGACAAGGAGTAGGGTCGCCTGCCAAACCTCATGGGTTTTCTCCTGGTTCTAATTAATTAGAATTGCACATATTTTTCATGGGTTTAAATATAGCTTCATACATGTCATCTCTACAGTGTCAAGTATTTTGATTCCACTTTCCTTTTTCATGCGGGACAATCTTTTTTATATTCTCAAACCCTATAAGAAAAACTGAAGTAGCCCAAGATGTTCTGGGTTCAAAACTTTCCGTCACCTGATAAAACCCCAGCCTTCACATACTGGGGGTGGGTACTTTTTTGGATGGGATGGTGAAACTGTGGAATGTATGTAAAAGCACCTTTGACAGTTGAAAATCGAAGAAGAGTAAACTAATTAAACGACATAGTGCAGGCCAAATTCTCCCACCTCACATTGCACATGTGACCATAGAAATAAAATTCCATATATTTGTCTCCAATCCATTCTGTTTTTTTATGAGTCAACTTAATATTAAAGAAGTGGATGTTTGAATTAAATAATTATGTTATAGATGTAGTTGTTATTGATGAATAAACCGATGAATAAATATTTATTCTTGTAATTGATCTGGTTGCGTTTATATTGACCAACTTCTAACACAACCATTGATGAATTATAGAACTGACAAAAATATTTCCTCACGATCATTGATCTAACTTCACTCCTATACCCTCGGACCTGACCTCAACAATGTTTGTAATTTCATAATATGGAGGCGTAAATATTGCCTTGGGTATTATCTACATTCTTGCTGTAGAACAGATTGCAGCAGTCACAGATTCTAGATATTGAAAATGAACAATGGATTAAGTTTTAGTGATATTTAGATTTGTGTTGGATGTGACATATATTGATCAGATGGATTTAAATTCAAATTTTTAATTGTGCACAAACATTTTTATCAACATCCACAAAAGTTGGAACTGTCAAGACAAATATTCAATTCTATACCTGTTCTAGATTTATTTTTACAGCCATTTCGTGTGATTACATTTCAAAGATGAAGTGCCATTTAATTGTTTAACAATGACACCACAATTGATGAGAATAAGGAATTGGATCATCAATATGTTATTGGTAAATATTTGTGTGAGATGATAAATATATCAGGGTTTTATTTTTGTTAAGGATCAATTTACAGTGGATCTTAAGTACCCCTAGTAATAGTCACATTAACTTTCTTACTTGCAGATATAATTTCTATAATACATGTAAAAATATTGGGAGTAGCTAGTTTCTTGATCACATTATTATAATCTGTGCCAGTACCCCAGATCCCAATCATCCTCAGTATCCCAATGGTATCGTTCCGTTCTACTCCACGGGGAATGCTCACTGGTCCGTGGGTGCACTAGTCTGCAGGTTTACTAGTCCGCGGGGGCACTATTCCGCCGGTATAAAAAATACTAAAATATGGGTATCAAAAAAACAAGCCGGTATGGTGGCTGATTGGTATCATGTCGTGATGTCGCCCTTCATAAGGTGACAACCTAACAACCCGACATCACAACATTTTAATCCGACAATACGACATTTCACCCAACACCACAACATTTAAAATGCTCACTGGTCCGTGGGTGCACTAGTCTGCAGGTTTACTAGTCCGCGGGGGCACTATTCCGCCGGTATAAAAAATACTAAAATATGGGTATCAAAAAACCAAGCCGGTATGGTGGCTGATTGGTATCATGTCGTGATGTCGCCCTTCATAAGGTGACAACCTAACAACCCGACATCACAACATTTTAATCCGACAATACGACATTTCACCCAACAC